CGTTTGCTCCTACAAGCACCCCGGCCCGAACACTTTTGGCCTGGATCGCTTGGGGGCTCCACGGGGGTGTGATACCACCTCTCTTTTACTATCATATGGTAAATACTTTTTACTCGAACGAAAGGGTAGTCCATTCCATTAATTACCCTACGTAACTTTGTTTTAAACTCCAAACCGATCACACCCGGCCACAACCTACGGTTACGAGCGGCTAAGCCTCGCGGGCCATTCCCGGGTTCTTAAGGTTGCAACCTACAGGTCAAACGGGCAGGTGCGTAAAAGGAAGGATAAAAATAGAGCTATGCTAGGGTAAAAACAAAGAACAGATGGGACAAGCTTTCCCTTACGAATTGATTCATCACAAAACAAAATTGATGTATTCATGAATACAAATTGTTCACACGGGGGCTTCCCCACGAACTTATCATTTACATATGCTGATTACTTCTACTCTAAATACTACTGTGGCCGCCCGGCGACATTGGCTGATGGCGCGACTGACGAGGATAAGGGCTGCTCGCTCTCCGGTAGGACAACGTTCGGCTCGGTCGGAGGAGGGACGATGCCCGCTTCCGACTCGGCCTCCACTCCATCCACAGGCTGGGTGACATCTTCTTGACGCACGCCTTCAACCACGCTCGCATGGTGAGCCCCCATCACCCACTACATAGAGACATTCTCGACCACCATCTGTGAGCATGGCATCAAGCTCTCCACAAGCGCATGGATGGCTTCCGTGCTCCAACCATCGGCGTACCCCTGTAGATGATGGCGAAGTCTAGGTCCGGGTGGTGCGTCGCCACTTAGGTCAGCACCCCCGACGTCCCGTAGAACATCCCATCGGTGATGAGCGCCCGAACCTCATTCGGGACCTCCGCCAGCTGGACTGCGGGCGGGCTGGTGCTCGGTGCTGACCCAAACACCTCTGAAACGATGACCTAGGCGATGTTGCGGATCTGGTCGAGCTCCCCCTCGAGAGCACGTCGCTCTTCAAGGGACTTGGCCAGCGCCTCCGAGCTCCGACTGATCACCGCCTTGGCCATCTCCAGCTCCCGTTCCAGGGATCCAAGTTTGCTGCCCAGTTCTAGAAAAAGGATGACAAGTTCAGAAGCAAAGGAAGGGAAAAACTAAGGCATCAACCAAAGGCGAAACAGATACATACCGAGGCAGGTGCCTTCGAGGATGGAGAGCCCTTCCTCTTGCTACGTGACCTTCTCGAGCAATCGAGCGTTCGACTCCTCCAGCCCAAGCACCTGCCCCCGAAGCGCGAGCACTTCCTGGTCCACCTCCGACCGAGCCTTCCGCTCTGTCTCCAGAGTCTCCAAATACTCCTAGAGCCTCGCCTCGATCTCCACCAACCGAACCTTTGCCGCCTCGGTCTTCGACGGTTGGACCATCACTGCCGCAAGTCCTCGCTCAGCAGCGGTCGCCCGTTCCACAGCGAGAAGCTCCGCCACCCATGCTCCCAGTGCCTCGGCCGCCCGATCTTGTGATTCGTGGCAGGCGGATTCCAGCTGGCACTCAAGCTCAGTGACCCACCGCGTCATCGCGGCTTCCCGCTCCATCCGACCATGCTCCTCCCAGAGGAAACGGGACTTGCGGATCGATGTCGCCTCCAACTCCTGTAAAGCAAGAGGCAGGCAAGTTGAAACAAGCAATAGAAGACCAAGGAGTCAAAGCACAAAATGCTAAAAAAAGCAGAAGGCTTACCTCGGTGATGCATGGCAGGTCAACTGAGACCGCCTAATGGACGAGCTCCACCTGCTCCAAGGCCTCCTTGAGCTTTGCCTTGGCTTGGGCGAGGTCGGACTCCATCGACAGTCCGCTCTCCTCCAGGAAGTGCTAGAGAGCCACCTCCTCCCTGTCGCGAAGGACGAACCGAGCCTTCCTCGGGTCGCTGGGGTAGGGCCACACTAGCTCACGAACCGCCCCCAACCTACTGGAAGGTCCAGCCACTGCAGCATCATGCGACGACCAGACCACCGCAAGCTCCTACGATGGCGGGAGGGATGGTGGCTCCACCCTGGAGCTTGCCTCGTCGGAGCAAGGGATCTCCTCTATCTCGACTCCACGGCTCGCCAGCGGATGTTCTCCCTCCGGCCTAGCCGTGTCTCCTCCTGACACCTCCAGCTCCGACCAGGAGGGCGAGCCGTGCATCCGTCCGCCGGGCGAGGCAGGGAGCCCGGTCTCCCTCCTCTCTTCCGCCGTGGCCTGCGCGGGAGGGATCGCGAGGGTCACCTCTGACCCAACCTCCGCCGTCGCTATCGGGATCGTTGCCATCACTGCTGCTGCCGCTGTCGCCAAACCCGCGACCAGCCAGGAGGGCGCAACCCTCAGAGGGGAAGGTCGTACCGCCGCCAGCCTGCATTCCCCACCGCTCATCGCGACTCGCTGCAGGCTAGGTCACCACTCCCCCCGCATGGGAGGCGGGGCGATACTCAATCCCGTCAGTATCTGGCCACTGTAAAAAAAGTACAGATCGGTCGCACTAAAAAAACTAAAACTATGAGATCAAAAAGAAACAAAGGATGCATACCTAGATGAAAGCAGTAGGGCCCTAAAGCCCTGAACCGCTGGCAACATGCCTGCTAGACAAGGACCACTCGCGGGCCGCGACCCACACCCCCTCACATCGACCAAGGAAGGTGCTAACCCGGTCGGTTCCCGACTGGCCCGCGAGTCTCCCCGCCCGCCGGCTCATGGCGTGCCCACCGGAGCAGCTAGCGGGGCATCCCCCCGTTGAGCGTCGCGCGCACGCGCTGACCCCAAAGATGCGGGGGTGCGAGCCCACTCCTTAGACCGGCTGGTCAGCCCCGCCACGGTTGGAGCAGGGGGGCGATGCTAGCGATGCCTCCAGAGGCCACGACGACCGCGTCCGCTTCGCCTCCCGCTCAACGGCAGCGTCCAAGCTCGCGGTGCGCTTCCTTAATGCAGGAATGTCGCTGCACCTCTCCGCATCCCGCCCACCACCGGTAGACACAGCCACAGGCTCGCGACACTCCATTGAGGTCGCAACGACGTCCCGGTCTCCTTCATCTTCGGAGGTGCTCATGTCACCGCCCAGCTCCCTGGGCTCCTCCGACTCAAGCTTCGCCTCCACGTCGCTCCGATTTTCGCCGGCCCACACCCGTCAGGCGATCTCCATCTCCTTCCCGTGCCTCCTCCGAGCCTTCTCAGCTCTCTTCTTCTTCTTCACGACCGCCACCTCCTTCAGGGCAGCTTGCCGAGCCACGCCCTCCGGCCCCTTCGGAAGATGCGGCCGGGATTTATAACTAGCGAGTCCCTGCGAGACGGATGACTTGAAGTCAAATTATAGGAGAGCAAGATCGAAAGGGACATGGAACAAGAAGAGGAGAACGTACCATAAAAGTTAATAATTAGCGGAGTCAAAAAGATAAACACTCGCTCTTCTAGGACCAGACCCAGCCCAGCCCATCCAAGGGTCCAATCAGGCAGCTACTCGCTCGGCTACAGGCCTGCTACACATCTGCTGCCCCCTCCGCCATCCCCCACCAGCGGCAGCAGCGGGAAACCAAACCTAAAATCATTGCCGAAACGGAGGGAAACCAAGAACCCTTCCCTCCGACCCCGGCCACCCTCCCTCCCACGCTGCTGCCACGCGCCACCAGCCCCGCATTTCACATCCCCAAGGCCATTCCCCAGTCCTTATCCTCTCGACCCCTTCATCTGCCGGCCTGGTTTCTCCACTGCAGTGAAGCTGGAAATGGGCGCGGCCACCTCTTCTGCCAGGTCCTCTTTGCTCACTCATGCGTGCTCTTTACATGGATTACTTTCCTCATTTCTCCTGTGCAAAATAATTTCAGTTTTGGGTGTCGATTTGGGTGGGTTAATTTGTCCGCACTGCTTGTTAGTTTAGTTTGTCCTGTGGACTGCAGCGGACGGCCAGTTGTCCAGGAATTTTAGGATTTTTATGCATCCGAGTGTTCTAGTGACACCATTGCCGCTTGGCGTATCAGAGTTATGCTATGTGCTCGAGGCAGGGCGGGTCGGGGAGAAAGGGGGGGGCGTATGCTTGAGGGTCGGCAAGATGAAAGATGATTGCGAATGCAGGAAAAATGATGATTGCTGCTTTCACTACCATAGTGGCATAGTAGTCTCTAAAATTTTAAAGTACCACCGAATGATGCAAAACTATTATTTGGCTAGTGCTGTTCTTAGTACCTTGCCAATATCCATATGTTGATGTCAATACGTCCTTAATATCTTTGTGATTTCGCTGACCAAGCTTCAACATATGGCCTACTTTAGGCTATCCGACAATGGTTTGTGGCCAGTTATGAAGAACTAAACAAAAGTACCCAAAAGTAGTTGCATTTATTGTGACAATTCTAAGTCTAGACTCTAGAATGGTCAATGTTAAACTTGATTCTTGGTGCATCCTTTTTGCTATTTTGCTCAATTTATTAACACCAAACAGAGAAAATCGGAAGTAAAGTAAGATGTAGTGTTGCTTGCATAATGACAACAACAAAATCTGTGGAGAAGCCAACAAGTTTTATCCTCTTTATTACAACCAAACATGGCAGAGCCTGTTGTATAGAGACTTATAGCTTTATAGGCGTATAGAGACTTATAGCCTTATAGGCAACTTTTGTGGAGCTAAATATGTTGACTGAAAATCTCATTGTGCTAGCCATTATTGATGTACTACAGTGAAATAACTTATGATTGACAAGTGTATGACGCAGACTGGGTGACAACGACCATGGAAATACATCACAAGATAATCATTTGGGATCCAATGATCGAGATAGTGAAGGGCCAATTGATACTCTTTCCGTGCCAAATACAGAACAAACAATAGAGAAAGGAGGAAATGCACAAGCTATCCGCGATTCAGAACAGATGGAAAAGAAGAGAAGGGCTATTGAGCGATAGTTGCATGGTTCAATTGAAGCTGGGATTCCTTTTAATACTGCTCAGTATAGAGTTTTGACTTAATGTTAGAAGCAACTGCACAATGTCGCCCTGGTTTACAGTGCACGCCTCTGGATGAGCTTGATGGCCCGCTTCGGAGGCAACTTTTTGCAATCAATGGCTCCATTGAAGCACTGAAAAAATACTGGATGTCCGAAGGATGCTCTATTCTGGCTTATATAGATCTTGGTGATGATGGAAGATGGATGTTAAACTTGGCAGTTGATTGTTCTCATGGTGTGTCATTCCTTCGTTCCATCGAACTACCTTCAGGCAGCTACGACCAAGCATTTGTTTGCCGACTAGTTGATTCTTGTATTGAAGAAATTGGAGAGAAAAATGTGGTGCAATTCATTGGGGACGTTGGTATAGAGAAGACTGGAGCAAATCTGCCTCGAAAGAGACCGAACATATTTTGGACTCAGTGTGCTGCAAGTTCCATTGATTTGATGCTTGAAGACATAGGGCATATTTGTTTAATCAAGAAAACAATCGCTAAAGCAAGATCACTCACAGCTTTTATTTATGCACAGACAAATTTGCTGGACATGACCCGAAAGTTCACCAACCAGCAGGATTTTGGTTCATGTTGGGATAACCTATTACACCACTTGCTGCTTGAACTTGAGGAGCCTTTATGATAAAAGGATTGAATTGAAGACTATGTTTATTTCTAAAGAATGGGAGGACAGCAAGTGGTCAAAGGAAGCAGTGGGCAAGAAATTCTATAATTTAGTAGTGAGCAATGAGTTTTGGCATAATGTGCTATATGCTATAAATAGTTTTGAACCACTAGTGGAGGTTCTGAGGAGGATGGGGAGTGGCAGACCCTCTATGGGATACATATATGGTGAACTTATGAACGCTAAAAAGGAAATTGCCTTTCGCTTTGAAAACAAGGAAGAGCACTATTTGCCAGTATGGCACCATATAGATTTTAGAATAAATTTGTACATGATGAAACCATTGCACTTAGCTGCTTATTATTTGAATCCTTGGTTCTACTATCAAAATAGACATGAAATTGAAAATACAGAAATATTCAGAGATGCACTTTTTGAGTGTGCATGTAAGATGTACCAAGATGAGTCTACACAAGAGAAAATTGTGCATTAATTGAAGCTTTACAGCACTGATTCACAGAGTTTTGGAATGGTTCATGCCTTTAGTACTCGGATGGATGTTCACCCAGGTAACTTTCTTGCAGGACAGAACATCTTGGCATTTTTTTAATTTGTTTGTCAAGGTTCACAGTGTAGTCTTCTTTAGTATGATATACAAGCTAACTCTTGTCCTATATGTAGTTTCCTGGTGGCAATTACATGATGGTACAGCAAAGGAGTTGAGTGCTATGGCACTGAGGATACTGAGGTTAACCTGTCGCTCACTGGCCTACGAGCCAAGTTGGATTGAAATGGTAACATAGTGATAAGCTAGTCTCAAACATTCAACCATCAGTTCTTCAACTTATCATAATTTCATTTGTGTAACTCAGACATTTTTTAAAAGGCTAATAAGAAATTCTGTTACACTATTCTCTGTTCCTTTTCAGATCCATAAAGAAAAGCCATCTTGGATTAAAAAATTTCAATTTGAGGATTCAATGTTTGTGACCGTCAACAGAAGGATACAAGGGAAAGCTCAAATGAGAGATAGAGATCATGTACTTGCGTACCTTCACCGTGACGACGAACCATTTGAATGGCTGGTGGGCATGTTTCCCTATGAGGCCCAACTACAGGATAATTGGGATTTGCTGATGGCACGAGCGAGAAGCGGAGATGGAGTAGGTCTAGCGAAGCTGGCAAATAAATTATTTATCGAGGCAGAGTATGTGGCATCCGATGAAGAAAGTGATGAAGAAGCACCATGTCAGTCTATCAAAAGGAAGACGTTGTCTGGTGCTTCATGCTCAAAACGAGAGAAGAGGCCACGGCTGGTCAAAGGTAATCTGAAAGATGATGAGTCCGAGGGAAGTGATGGAAACATCAGCTACTAATCTCTAGCGATATTCAATGGCCTTGTATGTATCAGCTTAAAAGGATGATGCATGGTTTGGTATGTTTTTGTGGTCTGTGAACTCCTAGGCGTTGCTGGCTTTAGGAGTTTGGAACTCTGTTACTTTCGTTACTTTCGTTGGGCGATGTTTGTCTGAAATCTGAATGCTTGCAGTCAGATTTGGTTATTGCATTCATGATTGTTATGCTTTCGTTAGAAATAGAAATAGTAGCTCCAAACTTCTGAAACGTGAGAATGTATTATAGATTACAATAGCGAAAATGAAACCACTAGTTTCCAAATTAGAGAAAAGAAGCTTTGGACATGGTTTCATTTGCTAAAAAAGCAAAGTGGGATAGCCAAATTAATCACGGAAGTTTGGTGGGAGGGATGCCTAATTTGGCCCCTGATGTTGCGGTTTGACCAACCCAGTCCTTGAACTATTTATCATCTTTGATGAAAGAAAAAGAGAATAGTCCATATGCTGGCAGCTGGCGTTGACTCTTTTCTTGCTCCTGTGGAGTCAATTTAGAGCCTGGAAAATTTGAAGAATAGTCCTTGAGCTTACATATTCTATATTGAATGGGCATTTGAAGAAAATTTGACCAAAGTTCAAATCTGTCTTGGCCACAAGCTCAATCACCCTTGCACTGTTGCACCATGGGCCCTTGACTAGAGGGAACCCTGTAGCCTTCCCTAGTGGTAGTCGGACCAGCGGCACCTCCATTGCAAAGGGGTCCACCCCCTAGAAGCACCTGATGTGCTACACTGAACCACAAGAGATTCCCCCCAACCAGACATTCTACGAAAGTACAAATCAAATACAAACCCTAGGCAAGATCCACAGGCAAACCCACGCGGGAAATGAGTTTGTGAGCTGAGGGCGCATTGGCGTACCTTGCATCTGGCGTGGGACACAAGTTCAGCGATGGAGGAAGAGGTCGATGACGGCGACTGGCGGCTGGGGGCACGGGACAACGATGTGAACGAGGCCTCCACGCTCCACCGAATGGATTAGGCACGAGAGAGACAAGGACCGTGCCGGTTAGTGTTGCTGAGGGTAAGGGCAGCTTCATCTTTTTGCAAGCCGCCTCCATGCTGGCATCGTGACCTAGCACACCACACACGCAAAAAAGCCTGTTTTTGGCAAACTTGTAAGATTTCTTCTGTATCCGGTGGTAAATTTGTAAGATTTTTTAGGAGGGTGCTATTTGAATGTGTGCCATCCAAGAGACTAGCCAAAAAATATAAAAGCCCATGGTGCGGCCCCCTAGCAGCGGTCCCTCATGGGCGCAGTTGTGGCCCCAGGGGGCGGCCCTAGGCCCTCATCCCTTCCGGCGGCCCCTTCAACATGGGCCGCGTGACACCTTGGTGGCGCATTGGGTGCGACCAATAGTTATGGTGGTGCCCCACGGCTATGGTCCCACCACACTAGTGCAGCGCCCTCATCCATGGCAGTTGGCTCTCCTCCACGATAGTGAGCTCGGGAGCACCAAGGGTGGCAGCAGATCTAGTCGACAGCGGCAACATTCAGTGGCAGCATCGTGATGTCGTGGTGTAGCACCCGGTTTTAAGGACAAAACCAGATACATATCATATGTGAGCCCAGAAAGTCCAATCTCACATATAGCTACAAATGAATGTAATATCATACCTATCAAAGCCCATCTTGCTTCATAAAGGTAACCACTAACAAGCTAGAAAAGGTCCTCATATTGAGCTAAAGCCAGAGCCATGTAGCCCTCACAGCTGTACTATAAGTCCCGGATTTTCGCTTATAGATAAGTCCTTAGGGAGAGGAATCTAGAGCACCATAGAAATAACCCAATGCTCTAGCCCCCTTGTTCCATGTCGCTAAAAAGCATCTTTTAATGTTTATTGCATATACCATTAGTGAAGTTACAAGATCATGGCTTTAGTTGAGCACTAGCATCATACTACCCAATGCAATAATCCATAGGAATCAAGGAATCCAGGATATCAAATAGCTAGGAAAATTACTACGGTTGCCAAGGTTGACACATGCATATGATTAAAATGATATTAAGGTGAATAGGACAACAAGGAAGATCCCATGCTATACTTGCTTTAAACTCAGATCCTTCTTCTAGTCCAAGCCTTCAAAGATCTGCTTCTTGATTTACCACGTATAGCTCAACGACTGGACATGATCATAAAGCACCACACAAGCATCCATGCAATCATACACGAAGCAAACAATAAAACTAAATTAGAACAGTATACCAAACATAAAATCCAAAGAATAATACGTATTCTGCTAATACGCTTTGGACTACGTGTTCGATAATAAAAAACCTGAGTGGTTCTTTAGCAAAAATATAGGGACGGTGGGTTCAAAAATAGAAAAGTAAAGGGACTCTTTAGCAAGATGGCCTACGAAGGGGTATATTCTAATCTAGACCGTGAATCCTAGATCGGACAGCTATCGATGGTTGTGAGGATTTCTCCGGCTAGCATAGTAACTCCGGCAGGGTGGTGGCCATCGCCAGCGATGAGGAGCTCACCTAGGGTCTTTGGAAGCGGGGATCAAGGTGAGCTCACCTAGGGTCTTTGGAAGCAGTGGCCGGCGCCAATGGCGGCGCTAGGCGAGTTCTGCACTTCGACGAGATCCCGAGTGGGCAGTGGTATAGCTAGGTGAGCAAGGTGGCTGCTCTAGGGTCAAGGGAGGGCGGCACGAGCTCGGGTCCTTATTTATGGGGGTCCAGGCGTGGGGGACAAGCCATATCCTAGGAAGAGTGGGGTGTGCGGCGACGGGTTCCCGAACAGAGTCCGCTACGGGCACGGCCGGAGGAATGGGAAGGCGCTGACGCACGGGCCGCTTCGTCAGTGGGACAGAGGGAGGAGGAAGACACAGGCTTCGCTGCTGGGCTGGGTCGCTGTAGGTCCACGCGGGAGAGGGTAGTGTTGGAGCAGGCCGAAGGAGAGGAAAGGCGGCGCGTCCACGCGGTCGACCTGGGCCGGCCTGCAGGGCTGCTTGCTTGGGCCTACGCGTGGGAATGGAGTAAGCGAGCCACGGGGTTGGGAGGAAGGGAGCTGGTCTAAAAAGGGAGAGAGGAGAGAGTCAATGCGTCAAGAGGAGGAGGGAAGCTTTCCCATTTCTTTTTGTTTTCTTTACTTCAAAACCCTTTTCAAATCCATTCAAAGCAATTTGAATCATTTTTTGAATTTTGTACAAAGCCACACATCTCAATAAATCAATGCAAAGGCATGTATGCTCAACAATGTCAAGCTACACCCTATAATAAATTTTAATTTAATGAAAAATATTTATTTTCCTATATTTCATGAGCACAAAAATTCATAATAAAACCATTTTAACTCTATTTAACAAGGAGCAAATTTTAAGGGTGTTACAATTCTACCCCTTAAGATGAATCTCGCCCCGAGATTCGGGACGATGGTGATCAAAGAGATATGGATACTCGCTTTTGAAAACTTCTTCACTTCCTCGAGTAATCCAACTCGAGCATGTGGGTTATGGGTCACCATGCCTCAACAAGTCACTTTGATAACCTTACTCAAAGTAACTTGCTTAACTAATTTCCAAGATTTTGACGGGTACTTTAAACAATTCTTTTGTAACTCCAATCACGAGGCCACCTTTCCTATAATACCAATTATCTTTCTTAAAATATCCACCTTCCAATCGGAGCCTTTTCACTTTCTTGGTCGAAAGAGAATCTACCACAAATCTTCAAAACATTAATGATTCCTTCAAGTTGCTCAACTCTCAAACATAATTCTAAGTCCACATAGAACCAACTATAGATGTCTCATATCTCCTTCCCAAGGTGTTTGTTCCTCTACATTGCCATCCTAAAACTCACAAATCCACTTTACTATTCTCACAGACACACCTTCTAATAGGTCATTCTCGCCTTCCTCAAAAAAAAGTTGAATACCCTCATACTCAATTCTTTCTCCTAACAGTGTTGTTAGTAGCACCGAACGTTGAGCATACTTAATTACTCCTTTACAAGCAGATAACCATCCCTTTCTAAGGATAACATCAATGTCCATTGACTCCAAAACTATAAGGTTTGCCTCGAAGTTCTTCCCTTTTATGTTAAGACTAACTTTTGGGCATATGCGGTTTGCCTTCTTTTCTCCTCCTAGAGAGTTAACTATTAGGGGTTTCCTCATCGAAAGCATAGTTATCTTATATTCTTCCACATATTCCCTAGAGATGAATGAATGTGACGCACTGGGGTCAAACAACACCATAGCAGTGTCTAAGCTTACTGCAATCAAACCATAAATGACCTCCTTAGCTCCATGAGTGGTAATCAGATCCACATTGTTCAACCTGCCTTGAATGTAGTTTCACTTTAACTTATTGCCTTGCACCTGCTCCTTATGAATTCTGGCTTTGATTACTCTCAGCAAACTTCTCAAGACAATCGTTCTTATAGGGTTCAATCTCACCGTAATCATAACCTTCCTTTCTAGTAGAAGTATTTGTCGTTATCATGGTGATAGTGGGAGATGACAGACATGGCTCTCGAGAGCTAAAATGCTACACTTCATCATTAGGTTGATGATACTGATCTTGATCATTACTTCCAAGCGGATTCATAGGGTGTGACTGATATTCTGGTTGTGTAGCAAAACAGAGACGAGTATTTTCTTAACCGGCGTTGAAGGTCACGCTTTCTCTTCTTCTCTTCCATTTCTCGATGCTTGTTCTCAATTACAATTGCTCTATCCACCAATGTTTGATAGTCGGCACCATACACCACGATCATCAGCTGTAGTTGCAAACCATCATTCAGTCCTTTCAAAAAACGTTTTTGCTTCTTAGCATCACTATCCACCTCTTTTGGAGCATTGCATGACAATTGAGTGAACCAGTTATGATACTCACACACTGACATAGATCCTTGCTTCAAGTTGAGGAACTCTTTTTGCTTAAGTTCTACCTCACCTAACGGGATATGGTAGAACCTAAAATTCTCCTTGAATTCATGCCAAGTGATAGCA